CTTCATCCTGCTTTGAGTGGCAGACACATTCTGGGGAAGTCTGACATGCATTCATCCTCACTAAAATACCCATGAGGTTAAGTATTACCATTGTTCCCATTTTCCAGATGAGGTGACTGAGGCACAAGGGTGGGGGGGTTTGAGGCACTTCATTTCTAGCAGCATGACCTTAGTCAGGTCATTTAACTTCCCTGTGCCTTTGTTTCCTCCCCTTAAATAGCACTACTGCTGCCTGCTTCCTTGGGTATTTGAGAGGATTAAGGACACAAGGCATATGAAGGGCCAGAGTGGGGAGGGGGGAGTACGTGGGTGCTGAGGGCATGATGGTTATCTTGCATGTATTTGCCTAGAAACCTCCCAAGGTTGGTTTTCATAGGGAAGGCAACCTGGATTGGGAATTCTGGGTCTTGATTCTCTAGAACAAGAAGAGCAGAGACCTAATTACCTTTGGTGTGCAGGTGAAGAGTTACCAGGAAGGTGAAGGGATATCTCATGTTCATCAAGGGATGGGTGGATAAAGAAAATGTGGTATATGCAAAAAGTGGAATATTATTCAGCCTTAAAAAAAAAGAAGGAAATCGTGCCATATGCAACAGCATGAATGGACCTGGAAGACCGTGTGCAAGATGAAATAAGCGAGTCACAGAAAGGCAAATACTGCATGAGCCCACTTCTGTGAGACAGCTAAATTGGTCCCACTCAGAGACTCTGTAAAACGGTGGTTGTCAGGGGCTGAGGGAGGAGGAAGTAGAGAATTGCTAATCCAGTGGCATAAAGTCTCAATGATACAAGATGAATACATTCTAGAGATGTTCTGTACAACATCTCACCTATAAGTAGCAATACAGCATCGTGCAGCCAAAAATTTGTTAAGAGGGTAGATCTCATGTTAAGTGTTCTTGCCACAATAAAATAAAATTTACCAAAGAAAGAACAGGGGCGTCTGGGTGGCTCCGTCGGTTGAACGTCTGCCTTCAGCTCAGGTCATGATCTCAGGGTCCTGAGATTGAGCCCTGCATCAGCCTCCCTGCTCAGTGGGGAGTCAGCTTCTCCCTCTCCCTCTGCTCCTCTCCCCTGCTTGTGCGCACTTTCTCAAAGAAATAAAGAAAACAGAGTGGGGACACGCTGAGGGAGAATTCATCAACTACTCTAGGAAACAGAGTTGACTCGGTGAGCCAGGGGGTTCTGGGCCTCTGAAAGATGTGTGGTTCTTGCTGACTGTGCCCCTCACTGACTTTTCTGGAAGCTGTCTAATATCTGTGAACTCTTCATTCCAGAACACAAATCTTTCCCTTCCCCGTTACACTCGAATCTTTTGATTTCCTTGGCAGCTGTGGAGTGTCTGGGGCCGGGCGGAAGGCCACGGGGCCACACTGAGCTAATCATCCCCATTGTGGGGGCCTCTCTGAGTAGACGACGCATATTAATCAAGAGTTATATTAGAATTGATGGTGGCGCCTGGTCCTGATATCACAGATTAACCAGAGGAATCGGCCGCTCTCTGATGGTCAGATTAGCTTCATTGATTGCAGTGTTTCCTGTGTCTGGTTTTGCTTGGAGATGTTCTGCCAGAAAGTGGTAGAGAACGTGAGCTTTTGAAATCGGTAGTTTAGGGAGGTTTTCTGCTCAGGTCCAGATTTGCGATCCCCCGTTAATGAGGAAAGAGAGCAACCCAAGAATAATACTTAGGCTGTGTCTGATGAGAGAGGATGCAGATGACTGCAAGGACAGAGACTCTTCCTCTTACTCTGTGCCTTCATGTTAACTCCTAGCTTAGGGATGGAATTTAAATTAATATTTTTGGACATTGGTACTCATCCAGCTCATTCTGTGTCAGAAGCCAAAAAACAAAGCCAAACGAAAAAACACCATCCAAAAATTGGCTCCTGTGTCTGAGGACACCTAGGAGGCAGAAAGGCAATCAGGTGGGCTCCTGTATCAGTCAGGATGAGCTAGACTGTGCTGCAGTAACAAAGATCCCCACATGTCAGTGATGGAAAGCATAAGAGGTTTATTTCTGCCCCTCGGGAGTTGGTCTCTGCTCCGCACTAGCCTCATTCAGGGATGCAGGACCTTGAGCGTTGGGAGTGTGGTTGGATGCTATGGAGGAAAGGGCAATGTGGCAAATTGTGCCTTGGTTCTGATCACTGGTGTTGACCACAGCAAGTTGCTTGGCTGTGCCTAATTTGTGGGGTATGGGAAATACAGCCCTGTCACGTGCCTAGATGAGAAAGAACTAAAATATTTGTCAAGAGCCTTATGGAAAACCAGCCCCCCCATATCTGCTTCCATCTCAGCCTAGGTTAATATAAGCAAAGAGGGAGATACCCATCACACCACCCCCCAATAGAGAAGGGATCGCTAAATGCTCCTCAGTTTACCTCTCAGCCAAATAGAAGAGGCAGTTTTAGAATCAGACAGGTACAAGTTCACCACGTCCCCCCAGATGACTTGGGGCAAGTTCCCGAACATCCTCGAGCTTTCCCGCCTCTTTTGTGGTTGGGAGAATAGTAGTATCTGCCTTGCAAGTTATTTTTGAAGCATGAAGGAGATAGCACATGCCAGGGCTTAGTTTGCTCCCTGGCACCTGATGTGTGCTCAGGAATGTTAGAGCAACCAGCCTGGGCTTCTCTTTCTGTTAAAGGGCAAGGAGAATACCTCCTTATGGGGTCATTGCATCCAGCGAGTGATACCTGGGAGTCACTTAGTATATGGTGCCTGGCTGGTGGCTAGTGCTCAGAAAAGGCAGCTGAGAAGCTGCTTGGGATTCTTTAAGGGCCTCTGGACAGAAAGAAGGGGAAAGGTGAACATCAGGGGGGGTTCAGTTAGGTGACAGGGGCAGGAACAGCACCCCACCAGGGGTGATTCTTTGCAAGGTGTGTGGGGAGGTGAGAAAGCCTGGAACCAGGTGTCAGAACTGACAGTTTCCCCTTCACAGACCAGGTTATACTATCTGCCCTGTGTGTCACCAGCCGCCATGCTGTGACCCAGTACTGACTCCCCTCTCCCTTCTTAGTATCTTTCCTCCTCTCTTCCCCACTACCTCCCAGCTCCTACCGCCTAGAGCCCTTGGTGACTTGTGGCCCTACTTTCCCGCTTTCTGTGTGACTCCTTGCCACCCGATGGGCCACTGGCCAGACTTGAGATACGGAGGTAACATGGCTCTTCCAGATCCATGTAGCTGGGCAGGAGTTGTTGGGAAGGGAGCCAGATCTTGTGGTACAAAGCCAGTCGGTGGTGCTTACGGGGACAGAGGGATGGGAGTCAGAGGGGCTCTGTAGCTTCCTGGAAGTGGGTAGTGGACCTGGTCACCTAGGCTATGGGTCTGCAGCCCCATCCCAGCTTCACCATCCACCAGCTGGGTTACCTCGGGCAAGTCGCGAATAGTCTGTTCCCTCACATGCAAAATGAGCATGAGAGCAATGTCCAACTTACAGAGTGGCCGTGAGGAATTTTAAGAGTCAGTTTTCCGTTCTTAAGGCCTCTCTATGTAGGAGAAAAGGGTGCTTAGTGCTCGGGAGATGGAGAAAGGGCAAGAAGGAGGCAGCCGATATGGTTTCTTCTCCAGACCATTACGGGGCCAAATGGAGGCTCTGGGGACAGGGACAAGTAAACCAAGCCCAGGGGATGGGAACCAAGAAACTCCTACTCCTCGAGAGCTGGTGTCTGCACACTTTTTCTTAAAGGGGTAAATAGAACTATTTAGGCAGGCCAGATGGAGAATATTGCCATGCTCATTCCTGCTATCATAGTAGGAAGGTAGCCACAGACAGCACATGAACAGGTGCGGCTGTTTTTCAATAAAACTTTATTTACAAAAGCAGATGATGCACAGGATTTGGGCCACGGGGGCCACCGCTGGCCGAGCTGCTAGAGCCCGAGCCCTGGGGCGTGCCGGCTGCCCTGTCCGCCCCTGCCTCTGCTGTTCCGCCCCACCGTCCTCTTCCCTGGGAACTGTTTCAGGCCCATTTAAGACAACCAAAGGGGTGATCTTCCCTCAAATTGCTACTCATGGCCGTTGTGTTTCTATAGCAACGAGGGTAGATTTATGGAGCCAGTTAGCGTTCTCTGTGGCTTTAGAGGTCCCCTCTGGGGCTAGCTTTGAAAAGTGGATACTCTTTCAGGTTAAGGCGTTGGTAATGGGCTCTAAGCAGCAACAACATGTTTTGGAAACGAGGCAGGGTATTAGTTGAATGGGACATTTGCTCTGAGCTCAAAATGGCCAGGGCCTACCTATGCATGGAGAAGCTGAGCTGAGGCCACCTGCCTTCCTGGAAAGGTCCATACCATGCATTGTCTCCAGAATGACTCTTGGCCTTTCCCTTGACCCCTCCCCCCCCCCCCCCCCCCCCGGATGACTTAGTCCGTTCTGCTCCAGGTACAAACATCAGGAGTCAAAGGACAAACACAAGAGTGTCACAAGCTTGCGTCCTCCCTGGGATTCATTGTAAAGATCATAATGCAAAGGATGCATTCCCCTCCAAAATAGCTCGGATGTCTCTCCCTCCATCTGATTTTTCTTACGGGCATAGATCTGTGAGCATGTCCTAAAGGCAATGGAATGTATGTCATATCCCACTGAATATTTTCTTCCCTTATAATTTTATTATGGCGTTTCCAGCCCTCAAATAAACCACCACAGCACTCTCTCCTAGAATTTAAACAGGAAACTGCAACAAAATGTCCATAATCCAAGGCAGAGACAATCAAGGAAACTTACTGAAAAGGAGGGTGTTGTTAGTAACAAAGCATCCAGAATCACAGAGCCTTTGAGAGTTTTCAAAGCCTTAATCTCTGGTTGGAACGTCTCATATTTCCAGATGAGGAAATTGAGGTCCAGAGAGAAAACTCTACTTTGAAGTTAAGCTTGTAAGCAAAGGTATGGCGTGAAACCGGGGCGCAGACCTCCAAACCTCTGTGCCCCACTCTGCAAGGGCCAACCTACTTAGCATGACCGCTCAGTGATGTTTCTCTTCTGTGTTCCTTCCCGTTTTCTCCAGGATGGCTACTTTTCTCACCGGCCGAAAGAGAAAGTGCGAACAGACAGCAACAATGAGAACTCGGTCCCCAAAGACTTTGAGAATGTGGACAACAGCAACTTCGCACCCAGGACTCAAAAGCAAAAGCACCAGCCTGAGTTGGCAAAGAAGGCCCCGAGTAGACAGAAGGAGCTTCTGAAAAGGAAGCTGGAGCAGGAGGAGAAGGGGAAGGGACATTCGTTCGCAGGCAAAGGCGCCACCGAGGCGCTGCCTCCTGGGGAGAAAGCCGCAGTGAACAGTAGCCGTGGGAAGGATGCCCCAAGACAGCCCCACACCAGGAAAAGCGGGGGCGGCTCCCCCGAGCTCAAGTACGACCAGCCCCCCAAGTGCGACATCTCGGGCAAAGAGGCCATCTCCGCCCTGTCCCGCTCCAAGTCCAAACACTGCCGCCAGGAGATCGGGGAAACCTACTGTCGCCACAAGCTCGGACTGCTGATGCCCAAGAAGGTGACACGATTCTGCCCCCTGGAAGGTGAGTGCCAGCCCCGGGTCCAGTTCTTCCTCCTGCCCAGTCCCATTCTGCTCCCATTCTCAACCTTCCGAGAATGACCCTATTTTTCCAACCCCCCCCCCACCCCCGATCAACGCACAGATTTTTTTTTCCCTCTGGTACTGTCTGAATTCTGAAGTTGTGTGTAAGAAAACCTTTGCAAAATCAAATGGCCTTTTGTTCCAGCTTTAACCAGTTGCCTTGATGGCAACGGATAAAATACATGAAATCGGGGCTGGTGTGGAATCCGAGGTGACTGTATCGGTAGGGTTCGTTTTTTCTCTCAGCAGAATATCGGGATTAAAATCGACACAGATATTATTGTAATTGAATATGATCTGAAAGGTTTCTAATTGGTTGCATTGACTTAGGAGGCTCTAAAAAACGACCTTCCCATTTTTCCTCCATGGAAAATTCCTTCCTCCCTTCCATTCTTCCTTGCTTCCTCTCCTTCCCACCCTCTGCCTCTCCCCACTTCCTCCCTGTGCTGGAGACTCTTCTGTGGGCTGACGGCCAGTGACAAGTCACATCTCTTGCTCTGCGATGCAGAGCCAGGTAAGAACTCTTAAGCCCAGCGGAGGGGCCCTCCGAAGGTGGAGGGGACATTTGCTCGGGTGAGGTATTACTCGTGTATCTCTGCATCTGACGTCAAGCCGTTGACTGGATTGTGTGCCTTTCTTGGTGGTGTGTTTTATTAGACAGTTACCAGGCGCTCGCTCCTCGTCAGACACTGCGCATTCAATCGGCTCATCTCATCCACCGCCCTGTCGTCATGAGCCTAAATTTTTTTTTTTTTAAGATATTGAGGATTTGGGTCAGGTAGGGAGTGGCCGTGTGTGTGTAAGTGCTGTGGAAGGATGCACAGCAAGCCCCTCACGTGTTCCCTGTTGCGCGGGGTGTAGACAACTTCAGCTTTTCACTCGCTGTTCATCTGTAGTTTTTGAGTTTGCAGCGGTGAACGTGTATCTGGACTATACTCTCTTTTAAATGGAAAGATGTAAAAAGGAAGGGTTCATTTCTCCCTTGCGTTTCAACCCTAGGCCAAGCTGTCTGTGGGGTTCACATTTATATTCTTGATGGGACTTGGCTGATGGAGTAGAGGAGTAAATGAGTGGAGGAAGAAGTTTCCAGAATCTTTTGTTAACCAGCACCTGACTTGAAAGAGGAGTGTCGGAGGCCTGAGTTGAATGCCCTTCCATGAAAGTAATATTGGGCACTCATACTATACTGGGAGTCAACACACTTTTCCTTCAAAGGACCAGAGAACAAATATTTGAGGCTTTGTGGGCCATCAAAAGGAGCCATGCACAATACATACCCTGTGCGCTTAGTTATGTTCCAGTAAAACTCACTTGACTAAAGCGGGCAGTGGGCAGGATTTGGCCTGTGGGCCCTAGGTTGCTTACCCCTGCCAGATACCAATCCTGTGTAACAATAAATACCACACAGTGGGCACCTTATAATACATCGAATTCTCACACCAGCCCTAGGAGGTAGGTCTTTTATCAACCCATTACGTCGATGAGGACGTTGAGGCTGAGAGGTTTAGTACTTGGTTAGAGGTGCATGGCTAGTGGACAGAAGAGCTGATCTACCCGAGGGCCTGCATCCATACTCATGGCCTTCCCCTCCTCAAGAGGCAGAAGGTTTCCCTTAAGCTCCAATGGTCAGACCTCAAGGAGATCCTGCAGCCTGTAGGCTGTATTTCTCCATCCTCAGTATCGTTGCAAGGAGAGGGGAGGGAGCGTGATGGGGAAACAAGAGGGCTGGTGTCACCCATGGAGGTCAGGGGCTCCCACGCTCCTCCCGGTCGTGCTGAGACACCTCCCCCCCACAGCGTGGTTGTGCAACATGAGCGTGCCCGGCCTTTCCCCATAGGCTCCCCCACGTCAGCCAAGATGGCACACCCTCCCAGGACCTCTGAGCTGGTTAATCAGATTGGCATTTAAGAGCCATTGCACACCCAGCCCAGCGCTGCTTTAATTTGCTGCACGACAGCCTCCCCTTTTGCAATAAATTTACTGTGAATAGACTAATTGCAAAATAACCCTAATTGGGTAGTTATCAATGAACAACTTCCCGTGGAACAAAACGGCTTACAATTAATAGCATTTAAGCCATAAACTATTCTTCTGCAGAAAGCTAAGATGTAATTACACCCCATACGGAGATTGTATTCCCTTTCTGGAAACCATGACACCCGGATTTCCCTCCGCTTAGGAGGGATTTGAGCTTCAGCCCCGTGGTCCTTTTCTTTCCCGCTAAATGAGGAGATGGGGGTGGGAGGGGAGGGAGATGTAATGTGTGTGTAAATATACACATGTGCGCGCACCCAGATGCACGCGCTGGCTTTGTCATCATGCCGAACTCCACGTCACCCAAACTTCAGCCAGTATGATGCCGGAAGCTGGATCCAATTAGGGGAACCGTTACCCATGGTGGGCGGTCTGAACCATCCAGAGGGAAGGAAATAGAGTTTGAGTGTTGACTTTCTAAAGGGCTCCTGCTCTTCTCACTCACACCCATCCTTCCCCTCCCCTCAGCTGAGCACCACTCAAGGAAAAGGAAGAGTCTAGAACCCCAGGAATCGGGTTGCTCCTTATAGAGATGTTCCCTGCCTTTGTGACTTGCCTACTTCCCTCCACCTCCTGGAGAAAGCAGCTGGAAGGGTGACACATTTTCCCAAGGAAAGGAGGGCTCTGTGTACCCCCACTGACAGCCACCAGGAGTGAGGCACATGGAGGGCACGGGGTGCTGTACCCCATCAGCTCCCAAGCCTGGCCTCCGAGAGGCCTATTTCTAATCCCCTGGTGGCCTCTTATTCCTCACAGGGCCCCCGTGCTCACTGCAGCCGCCAGACCACCCCCCGACCTCCCCTCTTCCTCACCCAGGCAGCCCCACCCCCACCCTGCCCCCCACAATTGCCTGGGCCTCCTGTCCCTTCCTCGGGCTCCACGGTCAGACCTCCCATCACTGGACCTCCTAGTGTTTCACGGAGATGAAACCATGTCAGATGGGAGACCAAGGCTGGAAAATCTGGGCTGGAAAGAAGAGGTTTTCTCTAAGCACTGGGTTTTGAATCCTGGTTGTGACTTTACTAGGTGCGTGACCCTAACTTCCTAGTGCCTCAAGTTCCTCATCTGTGAAATGGACACAGATTCTCCTGCCTTTCCTCCTAGGATTGCTGGCCGCAGTGGGGGCATGAATATCAAATGCTTGGTGCGGAGGGGAGGTAGAATGCAGCAGATGTTTGGCTGTTGGCAATGGTAGTGGTATAAACCAAGGGGGCATTGAGAAGAGGAGTGCATGGAAGTCCTCCTCGATGGTGATTTCCTGCTGCCCGGCTGCATCTCTCTCGCTCTGTTCTTCAGACGTGACCCCCACCTGGCTCAGGCATTCTCTCACGCTCTTTCTAGCACCTCCACTGTTCCCTGCACCCCCCACCACTGCACCCCACCCTGTCTGGCCACCACCTCTCCCCGCTCCAGATCTCAGCCTAAATGCCACCTCCTCGGGGAAGCCTTCCTAGACCACGTCTCCCCCAGAAGCCCTGGCCACGGGGATCACACTGACCCCAGTGAAGGGCAGAGGTAGCTTTCCTGATGAATGCCTTCCTTGCTTGATAAAGACCGTTCGGCTTGTAACAGGCATTCTGGTGCCAGGTGCTAGTAATGCAACTTTTAATGCCTCGTTACAAGCTCCATCTAGCCTCCCTCCATCTTGAGTGAAAATGTCCCGAGAAAGGCCCCCCTGGCGCCCCCCCCATGCCTCCTGCAGTTCACCCTCTGCTGTGTTAGGTGGGGCCCGTGGACTCATGCTTGCAGTGGCCCGCACGTCTGCAGCCTGCCTTTTTAGGTGGAGAACAAGCAGGGGGCAAATGCGTGACGTTCCGGGGAAAGCGGTCGGCTGGGAGGTGGGACAGGCTGCCACCTGGCCAGGAACTCAGCCCTGAGCAGCTGGGGGACATGGCAGGTCTCCGATGGGCGACAGGCACGGGGCTAGTTCCACTGAGTCCACCGACCAGCTGTGGGGCTGCAAGCCTCTGCACGTGACTGGGGAAGCCGGCTCAAGTATTAGGGCTGAAGATGGACAGACTGAGGGTTTCTGATAGAAAGGCAACGGTTCCTGGACATGACAGTGGTCTTTACCCATCAGCCTTTGCAGGAGGCCAGAGGTTCTGGACACGTGGGCTTCTGGACGGAGGTAGCTGGCTGCCCGCTCCAGAGAAAGTGACAGATGGCACTGCCGGCTGCAGAAGGGCTGTCTCCCGTCCATCTCCGCGCCCTGGGGGTGGTGTGGTGACTCCACAGCACGAGTACCTGGCGTCTAGAAAGCATGGCTGGCAGCCCAGCATGGAGGGACTGTGCAGGCGTGCATGGCAGCTCGGCCGGTCCGAGTGCCCTCGTGTGCGTGCCTCAGTTTCCCCACCTGTCAGCCGGAGACCCTGACTCCTCCCAGGCTTTCTGCTGATGAGGAAATGAGGGAGCAGCCGTGGAAAGCTAAAAAAGCACTACACTAATGGGGGCGGTGTGGCGAAGCCACATTGATCCAGGCGCAGCTTGGCTGAGTGGCTGGTGCTGACTCGCTTTCCAAAAGGCCAGGTTTGCAGAGGAACCAGTCAGACCCTTCCTGCTGAGCAAGACACAGAGGCCAGTAGAGGGGAGAGATTTCAACAGTGGTTTGCTGGGATTGGGCAAACCTGGTCCCAAAGCTGTTTCTTGGACTTCTCAGGGAGGGGAAAGGGGCTGACCCCACTCACTGGTCACCCCATAGGCAGTGTCCAAAGCCAGGGCTCCGCACATGTTTTCTGTAAAGGGCCAGAGAGTAAATAGGAGGCTTTGCAGGCTGTATGGTCTCTGTCAAAACTCCTCAATGTGAGGGTTGCTGGAGTGGGGGGTGGGGTGGAAGGGATGGGGTGACTGGGTGATAGACACTGGGGAGGGTATGTGCTCTGGTAAGCGCTGTGAATTGTGCAAGACTGT